AGGCTTTGTTCAGTTGAGGCTGCTCATTTGCTCACAGTACCCAGAACTTAATCACAGACTTCTGGTGACCTTGCTTTTTCTGTCGTTGTTCCATTGCTATGAAATGCCCTTCCTTTGTTGCTTCAAGAGACAAATTCTTTTTTTTTTTTATCTAAACAGAAAACTCAATTTTTACTATGGCCCATGTCTGATCAACTTACAGTTTATACTGTATGTTTTTGTTTCATTTTTTCTCTCTACTTTTTAATATATATTTTTTTCTTTTTCTTCTTCATCACTATGTACAGTGTCCTTGACTGTGGAAAGGCACTTGATATATACAAGTTTTTGTTATGAAGATCTGTGATCCTTGAGATTGATTCTAGATAAATTATATATCCATAAACTATGTATCCAGCTACAGAAACTAGACATTTGTATGTGCTCTTTAGTTGTGGAATTTAAAGAGTTTAAACAATGAAGCGTCTCTTCAAAGAAAAGTTTTGGGAGGCTGCCCCATAAATGACCCCTGACCCCAGTTTAACGCCTCGGTCAGCAGAAATTATTTTCACAGACTGCCCAGGAGAGTCAGTCACCAGGTTTGAAGACGTGATAAGGGTCTCTGCAGTTTAGTGCAGTTCTGACCTTGACCTCCATCAAGGGGGGTTGAGGTGTGGGAGGTGGATTCCCATGAAAGAAATGTGAAGTCTGTCCAATCAATAACCAATGACCCACTAGATACTGACATGACACATTCACATCATATCTCTCTCATACAAGGAGCAGGAGGAGAGTGAGCATCGCTTCAGCAGATAGCAACCTGGCCTGACCGCTGCCTTACTTCTATTGGAAAGAGGGCTTTGTTTTTGTCCATCCTTACAGATTCCACATTTGAAAACTGGAAGCCAACCCAAAAAGAAGAGTACCATATTTGTTACGGATTCCTTTCTGTTTTTAATTTATGACCCTACATTGCTTAATAATTCTGTATACAGTAAAAATGTCTAACAAGCAGATAATGTAGCTGCACATGTATTTCTTAATTTATGTTGAGGACAAGAGGCACAAATGCAAATATTAATCAATGAAACAATAAGCCTGTACTTCCTTTCTCAGAGCAAAACAATATGTGCTCCAAATAGTGACATGTCTTATTGTTCATATACAGTATCTAACAAATCTAGTCTGGTAAACGAACACAAATGTACTGATTAAAAAACCCTAGACTGGATAAGACTAGCATACAGGAAGAATTGCCAACAAATCGCTAAATGACTTTGGGCTGTCCACAGTCTAAACACTTTTTGGGTCTGTTTTAGAAATCTGAAAATCTCAGAAAACAGGAGTCGTCATGTTCTTCCAGTTCCAGTTTAATATATGCCAAAGCAGACTACTGGAGGTACAAGCATTTCTTATGATAATGTTTGGGATGTTTATTAGCTGTTCGTGTGGAAGTAAACGATTCCAGATGTACTTCGTTTTGAGAGAGGGGTCCCTGCTGAGCTTGCTGTCATTAGGAGAAGTGCAATGCATCGGGACCTGCATCGTAAACAGTGTGAAAAATGAATCCTGATCTGTAGCCGGACTCCCTCATTATGGGTGCTCAGCATTCTGATAGTTCCTAATTGGTTTTCCAGACTTTGGAAAATAAATTTGAATGAGTGGGGCACACGAGCCCCTAAATCTGCTATCACAGACTGCATCTGTATCTACAGGTTGTACTGAAGTTTAAGAATGCCCTCCATTCTGATCGTTCCAGAGAGGCTTTGTCCTTAGCAGCTGTGATCACACTGAAGTGACTTTCTTTCTTTATTTTTTTACTGATGGATTGAGTCTATGGCCAAGTTCTGTGGCACACCAGCAAGGTTCTGCGGATGATGATGATGACAGGTTCTGTGGAATGCTCCCAGTCTTGAAACAATCTGAACACAAAAAGCTACACCTTTTATGCAAATGTACAGAGAATGTACACATGCAAATGTGCGTTGATATTGCTTGCAACGCTCTTTAATGTGCCCTGTTAAACACACAAAGGTAGGATGAGCCCATCGGGGCACTGTTGAAGTGTGTTTCAGGATTGTCTTGGCTGAAACATGTGGCACATGCTGTTCTGAGTCAGTAGCGCACAGCGCTCACTACAAAGTATTCCTTTACTGCCGTTCCAGTCCACACAGGGAATCATTGTCTTGTCAGTGCCAAATTTCCACACAAAACCAACAGCAACCGCACAAGACAAAAGCCCTGCTGAGCATGTTGAGAAGCACCACAGAGGACACGGCACTGCTGAGCATGAGACGGGTTCAAACTGGCTTTCATGTGCTGGAGGAAAAGAAAATAACAATTAATAATAAATAAGATTTTGGCACCTCATGATCACATTTATGCCTTTTGTCCACAAACACAGGTACTGTGCATGCAAGCAGCAGCTCAGGTAGGCGTGCAATGTTTGTTTGAAAACACCACCAATCCTGGCCTGCCCCTCTGATAACGAATGTTGTGTTTACAGGAAGCTGAAAATTTCTTTCAAGTTGCCCGGGGCTTGTAAACCTGACAACAAACACACAAAGCTCAGGGAGGGACAGAAGTACCTCACAGCTCATAAATCTGTCCCTCTTAGAGACAGCCTGTCACCAAGGAAGGGTACAGGTAACATCAGAGGAGCCTCTCTCACAGGAAAGAGCTTGACTCCTGACTTTTGTCTACTTTCCGACTGTCAAAACAAAATGACTTGCATAAGGAAATGGGAAAAAAATTAGATCCGGACATTTTGTTTAGTTTTGCTTTGCAAACTTCAGTGGATTTAAAAGGTTCATTGTAGCTTAAGACTTTGTGATAAGTTGGTCAGAGTGATCAAAATACATGAAATATGTTCCTTTCTTTTTTTGTGTGCTGGTTTACTATGCATTTGGAAAACGATTAATGCAAAACCTGATTTTGCCAAGTTCTGCTAAAGCTATTTATACTCTGAGCAAAGATAGCTTGAGGCTTTCATTTTAGCTGGAGAAATTATGGAGAGACTTTTCAGCCAAAGTGAATTGGCTGAATAAATTACAATTATCTGTGAATAAATCTGCTGTCTCCCCACCTTTCAGGAGACCATAAGAACATACAGTAGGTAGGGCTGGCTATATTTGTATAACTCTTTTAATTAAAAAGGTTCCCAAACATGTTACGTACTGTATAGGTGGAGACCCACTTTGTCCACCACTGAAGAGAAGCCTCCATCTGGGTGACATGTGGCAGCCATCCTCCAGCAGCCCCACTACACAACAGATCAGGTGGAAAAAGGCCCTCACCAATTGAATGAAGGAGGAATACAAGGGTGTCCAGATTCTTTAAACCTGGAGAAAAATGTATCCAAGAAGCCAAAATTAGCACCCCTGTTTTTACACACAATGCCATAGGATCATCAATGATCGGTTAATCTTTAAGGACTTTGGTTGTCATCTGAATGATGGCTCCTCCAACAGCACAGTGTTCCTGGTCACCACTCTGCTGCATTGGTTTAAATGTTTGAGCTCAGAGAGAGGAGAAGTGCCTTCCACTCCACCATCACCACTTCTGATACCGTGTGTTCATACAGTATTTATGTTGGAAGTAGTCCCTGCCTGACTTTCCTTTCCAAAAGACACACACCTACTCACCTGCTATTTATTTGTGATTTAGTGTGGCTGTGGCTATATGCTGGCTCATTAGGAGTGATTTCATGGCTCACAGCCGCGGCTGTAGAAGAAGTCAAGCTCAGCCGAACTGAGATAGATGTGGTATACCCCCCATCCAGCCTGCCTGCCCAACTTGACATTCCAGGCTCCAGCCCACACAGCTCCTTTCCCCCTCTCCCTGCCCAAAGAGCTGTGCTCTCCCTTGCCTGCATTACTCATCATGTTATGTTTTTGGTTGAACTTGCTGTCATTTTCACACATTCCTCTCCGCCAGGAAAACCACCCCAAGGCAACTTTATTTCCCCTGAATTGGAACGAAGTGAGAGCCACAGTGCTAATAAGGTCCAGATGTGTTCTCCATCTCATTTTCTCAAACCCAAGTGAAGAATTCCATGATACAGGGATGAGTACCAGACAATCAGCCTTCTCCCTCTCCTCCTTTTTAAGAAGGCTGCTTGACATATGAGCAAGACACACAAGCTTGATTGACATGAAAATTTTGTTTTTTTTGTAAAACCAACTGTTAAACAGTAATGTAATTAGGACAGTTGGAAGTCATTTTTTTAAAATAAAGTAAAGATGAAAATGTTTCATTACGGCTGTGTGCTGCCAGTCTGGGAAATACCAGAGAGCCAGAGAGGTTGGTGATTGTGGTTTCTAGCTTTTTCCCCAATTTTCCAAGACCTAATATAAGAGATTCAATTTCATGGCGGAGATCGTTTGGAAGTGATAGTCCTTTGGCATTTTGTAGGATGATTTCTGGCTCTTTGGCTTTCCCCTTCGTTATAGATAGATACAGTACATACTTTGTCCACTGCAGTAGAAATTCGTCTTTGGCTTGTTCCGTAGAAGGTACAAAACACACAAGCAAAACATAATTATGTGATACATAAATAAATGGATAAATAAATAGGGGGGGGGAGACTACATTTGCACAGTGAGTAGTTTTATTGCAGAGAGGACAAAAGATGTCTTATAAATGTTTTTATTTGAATTTGGTGCCCTAAACCTCCTTCCTGATGGGAGCATAATGAATTGAGAATGGAGTGGGTCTGTGGAATCAGCTGTCATTCTTGTGATAACGTAATACTGATTCCTGTAACAGTAATGATCTACAATAACCTACGTTCTGAGCATTTGTTAACTGTCCGAGACATTCTAGACCTCTTCCAAAATTTGTTTGTGAAACTGCCAAGAGAATGAGAGTAAAAAAATAGATCAAATCAAGGTGGAAAGAAATGTGTTATTAGTCACCAGGGTCACTGGTTAAGACTGGGACCTTCAGTCAGTGGATTAGCAGGGAGGCTCTGTCCGAGTGGCACTGGGACTGAGCGCTCTGCTGTGTCTCTGTCTCGGCAGATGTCAACGAGTGCGAGGAGACGAATGGCGGCTGTGAGGCTCTGTGCAGCAACACCATCGGCAGCTTCTACTGCAAGTGCCCCAGCGGCCAGGAGCTCAAAGAGGATGGGAAGACCTGCCAAGGTAGGCCAGGCAACAGGCCGCTTATCCAGGGACCGATCAGGATAGCTGATCGGATTGAACAGGCATGCGCTGGAGCACCTGGCAAATACACCCGAACTGCGCCCAGTGCTGCAGATTCCACGGTATGGATCTGGACAAAAGAGCAAAGTTACCTATAGAAGAGCTGGCTATAATAACAATGCTTCAGTATTTATTAGTTTGTCTGATAAATCATTGTGAGGTAACACAACCTTCAAAGTGCTTCCACTCTGCCATTGTAATGGAGTAATCTTGCCATATGAATGTCTGTAGGGGTGGGCAAGAAAATAATTAAAATGGACAAATTCTTGCACCGAAACTTGGCAGGACTGTTCATTTTTTCATCAGTTCTGTGCCGAGCAAGATGTGATTCAATGGAGCCCAACTTGTCCAGAAGCTTCTTGAGTCAGAGTCCTCACAGGGGAACACGGTGTGTGAACAGCACCTGCTGTGGTCTGCCTCAAAATGGAAAGAGGATCACAGTTATGTGCTGCTGAAAACAAACTCCTCTTGGACTACAGTTAGCGCTCTGATCTGGTCATTGGAGTAGCCTTCTTAAACCAGGCTATATTGTGAATATGGGGATTAGCGCTGAGACCGTTAAGAGTTAACAAACAAAATACCCACTGTGCTGAATGCCACAATGCGCAATGGTAAACTTTATTTCCATCCAAGTATTACAGTATGAGAATCTCCTGTTTTTGGGGGTGTTGGATTGCATTCACTTACTGTGGGTTGCTGTTGTTTCTCGAAAATGAGAAGCGTTTTCCCCGAATAACGGTAATCATAGATGCCTTTCATTAATAGACCCAAACCCATGTCGCCAAGTTCTAACCCTGCGGCACCATTTTCTTGCAAAGACAAATCAAAGCAAGACCTTGATCGATCCCTAAGTCACCAGTCCCAAATTCAGTGCAGACCCCAATCTGTTTACACTGCTTTGCCAACACCAATTTAAAAAACACAAACCAGGAGCTGGAAAGATTGTTTTTTCCAAGTCGTCTCCCAATGGAAACCCTGGCACCCAGACAAGATGCACTCCGAAATTCAGTTTAATTCACTTTCCTCACTGCTTTCAGCACAAGAGCACATACTGGGGGCTTTGAGCGCCAAAGTACTAGCCTACAGCTTGTTTCTCTCCCTGGTATGCAGGAGTTACAGTACTTCCCAGCAGTTCTGTATCAATATAAACTTGCACAGCCATGATGAACTTTTATGTTAAAACTGTTTACAAAATTGTCTTTTTGTGATGAAAATCCGCTTCTTCCTTGTAATTCAGATGCAGGGTTTATAACTGAAGAGCCTCTGGAAGCAGAACAGTGGAATAACTCAATATGAGCAATGCTCTTTCTTTGGACAGCCCTTGGGAAAGTGTTTGCAGTACACAGCTGTTAGTACTGTATATAATAGAAAATCAAACAGTTGGCAAGGGAATGCTTTACAAGAGGTTGTTTTTTCTTCCCTCATCCTTAGTGTTTTTGGATCATTATTATTAGTTTTATATTTTGTATACTGTTTCTTACATATATTTATATAGTCTACATTAAAGGGGAGGTTCAGCACAAAACGGATTTAAAACAGAACAAAAATGATGCTCTATAGGTGAAATTAAATGTAGCCTGTTGCTCTGTCAGGTCTTGAATGGATTAAACAATTGGCCAATTTCATAGCAGTTGTACGCAGTCCATAAATCTCTTTTCTCATGTTGTTTGCCACACCTGCAGCAGACATATTCATTTTTAGCAAGAGCTGTGTGTCCAGTCCCCTTGGGTAGATGTAGTAATTCAAATGACCAAAGCCTTAATGGGGTCCATGAAGCATTTAATAGCAGCTGTACGTGAGAAGCATTTTCTTCCGAGTCTGTGATGCATTATAGTTTTCTGCTTATCAGGAAGGGTGAGGCCTTTTCATTTTAAACCCCTAAGAGCTTAGTCAGAGGTTGGGTCCTTAAGATTCCCAACAGCAGGTGGCTATCTCTTAAATAGCAGTTCTTAAATAAACCAGACCTTTGAACTGAGCTCATCTGTGACACGGACTGCTCAGTCTGTCCACCTGAGACAGCTCCCCTCCCCGTCTCGGCACGAGAACCATCAGCAGCACACAATAACAGAGAATGGGTAGTGCATCCCAAAATGACTCCTAATTTGAGTGCTCTCCAAGCAGTGACTTAAGTGTTAGATCAGCAGCTTTAAGTGCTGTTAACAGACAGGTATGCCAACAGAGGAGGGACGTCGGACATTGTAATTTGCTGAGTGATTGCCACTTAAGGGTACCAGGCTGACAATTACAGTGTTAATGTCCTTTCTAATGTTCTTGGTCCATTTGTTCCACACAGACCCTTTCATTGTAAAGTCCTTGCTTCCCTGTGTACCGTCACTGTAACGGCACATTCTCTGTAATTAGAAGGCATAGATGCCAGTTCTGCCATAGGCTATTTTTTTTAAAGAAATGCTTGTTAACTTTTCGCAATGGATATAAGATATTGCTGTGTTCAGCATTTGTCCTTTAGATTTTGCTAATTAAAGTACCATTGTTCTGGGTCAGTGGAGAGCTATTTTCCTCTTTCATTGGCTCTTTCTTTTTTCTTCATGCTCTTCTCGCTTATCGTGTTCCCTTTGTATATTACTGTAAATTTGAGAGCACCATTTACTAAAATCGATTTTCAGCTGAGGGCTATCAGAAGGCAGGCCAGCGATTTCCCTTTCTTCCAACACAAAGCAGGGTCTCCTCTGGCCTAGAACAGTGACATTTTTGTACTTTTTATTTTAATTGATTTTTTATGAGGAACACAGCACTCCTTCCTCTCAAAGGAACAATTTGACATTCATAGTGCTTTAGGGAAACCCTCTGTGAATATAGCAAACAGGTGGCTTTGCATGTGTGCAGTCTGCTCTCTGAAGCATCAGGCATGGGTGTTGCAGTGTTATCCACAGGTTCTTGTAGACCGGTGGGTGTCTCATAAGGTTTTAATGTTAATGATTATGTCACCTTGGAGTTGTTTCTTAAGAGTGCCATGGACCACCTGCAGGTCTGTTGATTGGGGTGAAATCTCGGAGCCTCTTAAATCTGTCAGCTGTTGGGGTGCTCATGAGAGACACCTGCGCGTGCATATGATCCTGTGTGGCCTTCTTGGTGTTTAAAAGGCTGTTTGTTTTTAAGTAACCCATAGTCTGTAACCCAAGGATAAAGAAATCGTTCTGTCATGTATTAGGGCTGTGGTTGTTGTCTAAGTCAAAGCCTCGGCTGTAAAGGAAGAAGTCATAATTGCTATACTTAAAATTCCTGTAGCAGCAGAAGAAGATCCTTTGATACGAGCCACAAAAACCATAGCTCTTCTGCTGTGCACCATATGGAGCTGCTCTGCTAATTCGGTTTGTAAAGTGGGATGTGAGCAGTGATTAATAATAGTAATAATAACTGATTGTGTTTCTGTAACAATTTCCATCCCAATGGTTTCCAAAGCATTTAATGTGTATATATACTGTAGGTGGGGACTCACTTCATCCAACCACTTGGGTAACCCATACTGCACCAGAAGCCCCACAACAGGCGATCAGGGGGATGATTGAGAAATAACTTAACCAAAGGAACAAAGGCCAGGTTGTGGAATTGTGTACAATTCAAATTGTGGAATTTATCAAGGATGGACTTTCTAAAACAACATATTGAACAGTAAAACCTCTAAGCTGTCTTCTTTAGCAGATTAATGACTCAGAGATCAGAGATTTCTGAAGCCTGGAAAGGTAACACAGTGACATATTGGCAAAAAAACAAGCCCACAAGGCAGTGACTGCGAGATGCAGATTCTCTGAAGTCTATATCCTGATCGGTGACCCTTGGCTTTGTTGTGTTTATGATGTGATCTGAGCCTCTCAGCTGAATTTCTGGATTGTATTTGAAGCTGGCTCATTTGCCACGTGCTGCATTCCTCGCACAGGGTGAGCTGCATTTTAAAAGGGTGAACTTGCCTCTCATTTCCTTAGAGTAAACAGGCTCTGTATTTTTAAAATACCATGTGCAAGATAAATTAGGGGATCTTCTGTATTATGGCCCGGCTCTCTTGTTTGTTATGAATCATATTGTGTTTCAGCTTTGTGGAATTCTGTGAATGGCAGGATGCAGTGATCTCCTGTATAACATGGTGGGTTTTGGCTGAGGGACAAATAGTATGTTTGTTGGAAGAGCTTGGTAAGCACGGACCTAGAAAAATATATCTTGCTTCTCATATCCATTAAGGCATCTTCAGAAATTGGTGGACTAGTGTCCCTACAAGGGAATTTCCAGATGCGCGTCTCAAGAAAGGCTTTGCCTCTATTGCACGAAAACAAATTAATATGATTGCGGTGGATATGAAATTAGTCCAGCCTGTTCATTAATCTTTCATGATTTAGAGACACTTTAAAATAGTTTCTTCAATGTAAAACCCTAGCGGTTGACTGATTTCAAACAGATCTCCCCTTTAGTATTTCAGATCTGAAATATTATCAGTCATCAAATCACTACTCAAAAGCTGTTGCAAATGTTTTGTTGTCTTTAGTTAAGTCTTCCGTTTAGGACAACAAGATCAACAAAACGTTTGCAACAACATTTGAGTAGTGATCCGAGTAGTTCAGTATTTGTAGATTGGTACTCAGAGCATACTGTATGTCCCTACTGTATTTCCTCTTTATTTGCAGAGAATTAAATCCACACACATTTACAGTCATTAACTTTGCTTTGCTTAAGTCATGTGTAAAGTCATGTGGAATTGTATGGGTATTTAAATAATCCTCGTGTGAACTTCATTGTATGTAAAACATATGGCTTTTTTTGTGTTCCTGTGGGGCTGACTTTGGATAACCGGAAGAGAAGGCCAGTTAGCAAAGGCTTTTGCCCACAGGCCTTAGTTAATAACAGGCCTGTGTTATTATTAGTATTTAACCAAGCTTAGAGGCAGGGGTTCAGAAAGCTGCTACTCATTAGAGATTAAGGGGTTTTCGGTT